ACTGTGATTAGTCAATTTCTTAAGGCTTAGGGCTTAAATCTCTATTGTAGACTGGGACTTACGCGCGCGCAATGAATTGACCTTGTTGCAAATTCGGAATTGAATATCTCGGCACCTAAATACCCGAGTACAAAATTTCAAGTATCAAAATAAGTAAATTATACATATAATTCTTGATTGGATGGCGTTTATACTTGGCGTCTTTTTACCTTTTTTTTAAAGGTTGTGTAATAAATCGATTAAATAATTAGCCAGTTGGGTTGACTATTAGTTTCCCGTCTCATTTCGTATGAAAAGTTGCAAACCCATGTGGAATTGTATAAACGTAGAAGTAGTTTCGCCGAAGCAGGAGTTGGTATGAAATGGACCTTTCTTTGTGTGAAAAGTAGCAAACCCATGCGAAACCGTATGTACATACAACGCGTACATATGTACATTAGTACGTGTATATATGCATGTGTGTACATACATACTTAATGCGGTATCCAATAATGTGGTGTCCAAAATGTGGTGTCTAAAAATATTGTCTCCAAAAATGCGGTGTCCAATAATGCAGTGTCTAATAATTACGTATCCCATTTACTTATATGTATATTATATGTAACACATGATTATTCTCTTTTACTGAAATAAGGCCGACAAAAATAACAAAAGCGTATTTCTTGGCGGCGGCGTATTGTTCGACATTTGGCGGTACTGGAACATTGGTAGGAACTGGCACAAATCTGACTTTTAAAGGGATCTACGAAAATATATTTCCCGAGGCTGAAGGAATTAGTTTTACTGATTGGATGATAGCATCTTTTCCTCAGATGGTCGTTAATTCCTTTCTCACCTGGTTGTACGTACGAATTGCTTATATGGGATATCTGAGACCATATAGTAAAGATGCTCAAGTAGCCACAATCGGAAGAGAAGGTGAAGCCGTCACAAATCAAGTGAGAATATTCGTATTTCTGAAAGGAACTAATTAACAATTCTTTTTACTCAAGTCTAATAATAATGAATAAAGAATAGACTTTATTAAAAAATGACAAATTAAAGAATGTGTAGTATTTAATACTTTACGGGAATGGATTGCACAGGGTGTTCCCAGAGCTCTCTTGATAATGCTCGTGAGGAGATAGAGTGGGTTAAACAGAAAGTTATGTACCATTTTGTATTTTATATTTCTATGTTTGTATTTCTACAGTTTAACGTATGTTATTTTTGTATATGGGAGATGATCCGGAGCGGATCAAAACGTCTGTATTTTATATTTTATTATAAAATTGTCCATGTCTATTTTAAAGACTATGCCTTGTTAACTATATACGGCTCGCATTGGCTTTCTTACCCTCCACTTATTAATATAGGCAACCTTCTCCTAATATCTTTTTATTTAAATATACAGGATGATTCACACCACCCGTACAGCCCTTTTATTTCGGAAATAGAACATTTTAGAGAAAAATGTTTCAGACAAACAGTTATCGAGATATTATAAGCTAAACATGTAAAAAGTTATAAATTTTCTCTTGAGTATCTCAAAAAGTATTAGGTAAATCAAGAGATGTTTCAGACAGAAATTGTTCATATTAATTAGTAGAATAAGATAGTATAATAAACAAGGGAGTTCCATTAAAAAAATGACAGCGACCTCCATATAACCATAAACAATTTATTTTTTCGAAAATTTATTTTTCAATTATATAGCCCTTTTAAAACCGTATAACTTTTGTCTGAAACATTTTTCTCTGAAATGTTCTATTTCCGAAATAAAAGGGCTGTACTGGTGGTCTGAATCACCCTGTATTATGGCAACGTATTTAACAAATAATTTTTATGAAATATAAGTTGACATTGAATTTTTCTTTTCGCAAATTATAATCTTCCTAGGTTATACAGCAGAGATACAAGAATTTGGGTCCTTTAACTTTCCACGAGATCGGAGTAGCCACTTTATTCTTCCTGTGTGTGTTTCTTTGGATATTTCGCAAACCCGGCTTTATCCGTGGATGGTCAGAAGTAATTACTGACATGTTAGTATTCGAATATCATAAAACATATACGATATACGAATAATTATTATAATAAGAGATAATGAATGTGCAGAGATGTCAGAGATTCAGTACCAGTGATACTTGTCTCCATCCTGATGTTTTTCATCCCAAAGGATCCTAGCTTCATTTACAGTTACAGTCAAAATCGTAAGAAATCGCAGAAATTCTATTAATCCTCAAAATAAATTTAAGAAATAAGTGGAAATTAGTTTAATAATTATTATAATATTGAATATAATATTGAAAATTTTTTATTTTTAAGTAAAATAGCTGGAATAAATTCTCAAAAAATATAATTTAAATAGTAAAAGTACAAACTTTGTATATAGTCGTCCATATCGGATTCGATATGGACGACTCCAAAAATTATAGTAGATTGGGTTAAACTGACAAGAAAAGTTATATACCATTTTACAAAATCCGTAATTATTATCGCATTATTAAGAAAAACGTCTGAGCCAATAAGTGCACGGAGGAACGGAAGGCCGGACTCGGCAGACATGCAAAATGGTGTGTTTGTTGACATCTCGGCACGGTGTCATATGTCGCGCGTTCTTTCGCTGCGCGCCGTTTGCCCGCTCACCGCTCCCCGCTCGCCCCCGTCTCTCATCGATCGATGCGTGACTCCACCTCTCGCTATCGATTCTTGAGAGATGTCAACAAACACACCATTTTGCATGTCTGCCGAGTCCGGCCTTCCACTCCTCCGTGCACTTATTGGCTCAGACGTTTTTCTTAATAATGCGATAATAATTACGGATTTTGTAAAATGGTATATAACTTTTCTTCTCAGTTTAACCCAATCTACTATAATCTTTGGAGTCGTCCATATCGAATCCGACACCCTGTATAAGGGTGTCTGATGCAAAAATAGCCACTTTGAAAATAGTGGTAGATTGGGTTAAACTAAGGAGAAATATCATGTACCGCGGTGCAAAGTAACAATAGTTATCGAGTAGTAAATTTACACGTTTGAGCGAATGAGGATGCAGGAGACGGTAGGCCGGACTCGGAAGGCATTTAAAAAAATCGATCGATGAGCGGGAGGTGGAGCGACGCGCGAGATACACCATGGTGGGAAAAAACCTAG